GCACTGTTTTTGGGTGGCCCTTGGAATTTAAAAAAACTGAAAAAGCTTATCTGTCTGCTTTAAGGAGCCTTCAAATGTAGGGTTTTTCTGGGGGTGGGGGGTGGTCCAAACGCATCCCATGTATTCAGTACTGGAAGTGATGACAAGTGGACACTGCAATAAAATATCGCAGTGTGACAGATCCACAAATGAAAATGTGTAATCCTAACCTCTGTTGAATATTCTGTTGGAAGGCAGACAATACTTCTAATAAATAAACAACCCTTTTTCTATTTTTGGAGGTAGGAGTCTTCTGCTGATTGCAATTGCTAATGCACAATGGTTGAAATTGGCATGATCTTATTAATCCACTGTTGTAGCTATTTTGCCAAAACATAAAAAACCCATCTTTGTGAACAGAACATGTGTTCTGCCCAGCTACAGAAACTTGCATTTTCCCTTTATTAAGGGCAGCAGCAAAACATCAAATGTATCTCTCCTTATCTTGAGTCATGTATTACAATTTCCATTTGTAAAATTAAAACATGCAGACTCTTGTAACTGAGACTAAGAGGAATTTGATTGCTGTGAACATACCTACATTCATCTAAAAATAATTGTATAATGCTTGCTTAATTGATTCACTGGTTATAGTACATATTAACAAAAACAAGATTTCTTAAATACTTTTAGGGCTGTTTTTCTGCATGTAAAAGAATTACACTTTGATCCTTAAGCGCTTGGTGGCATAGTTGTTTGCCCTTGCCTATACAGCAAGCAAAAAGAATGTAAAATTGACATTGAAAGCAATCAAAATGCCAGTTATTAAAACAAAGAAATCTACATTTATGGAAATTTCATAGGATTAACAGAAATAAGAGCAATTGTCACTGGCCAAGGAATAGCATTTTATGCTCAGTTACTTTTACATTATTTTTAAAAATCAATTATCACTCTTGATTTTCTAGGCAAGGGCACGTTGTGTGCCGCTTTTGTGGTGGTCTGCTATCATTGAGGGTTCAAGAACAAAAAAAGTATTCAGGTAACATGCCTGATCTTTAATCTGTCAAGTTGTAGTGCTTGTCTCTCTTATTCCCCATCCCCACCTGTCCCTCTTTCTGCTGAAATTGATAATTTGTTCTGGATGCATCATCAGAATGCCTGATATTCCTGTTATACAGCAGAGCATAGACACTTATTGGATGCTTTCATAAAACAAACATTATTGAAGGTGCTGATTTTTGTTCTGCTGTCTGCTTTTATATATGCTTCCTTGCCCTGTGCTGAAAATATTGGTTTTTACTTAGAAAGACATACTTTTATTTTGCATTTTGGGTACAGCAAAGATGATATTTTCAGACTTGGTATAACTGCCTACGGAATACCAAGTTTCTTGAGTTATTCAGAATGGATCACTGATGTGACAAACAGTATTTGACTGACTGCCCTTTATGTATGGGATTGTTCTTCTTGTTATGCGCCATCAAGTTGTCTTCAACTTGTGGCAAACCCATAAATGAAAGCACTCCAAAATGCCCTGTTTGTAGCAGCCCTGCTTAGCCCCTCCAAGTTCAAGGCTGTGGCTTCCTTTATGGATTCAGTCCATCTCATATTTGGTCTTTCTTTTCTTCTTCTACCTTTGACTTTCACCTTGGTCTTCTCCAGTGAATCTTGCCTTCTCATGATGTGTCCAAAGTACAGCAACCTCAATTTTGCCATTTTTGCTTCTACGGAAAGCATTGGTTTGATTTGATCTATGACCCACTTGTTTGTATTTTCTGTTGGTAATATATAACCTTAACTTGTGCTCAGCCAACCTCCAGAGCAAGCAGCTGGCTGGTCAAATGTGGGAAAGGAGCCCTGAACTCTCCTCTTCTGTACAACAGACCTCATGAAGCAAATGCAGGCTGCCTGCTTGTGACCCCACGGTAGTTCAGTTTGTTCCAAGGTTCCTGTTTGATTTACTGCTCATTCTCTCTTCTCCCACAGTCCCCACTCTCTCTATATGTATATGTCTTATTTTCTTGTACTTAGCCACATTGCTGGTAATAAACTGGATTGGTTGAATTTGTGCTTAGAAATCTGAGATGGATTCACTGACTCTAGTATTCATGTTAGTGGAATAAACATGACAATCAGTCAATGAATGTATGTCAGAGAATTCAGAGTACAAAACAAACCTACCCTTATCACAAGTCATTTTTTTACAGCTGGATAACACTAAGCTTGAGAAAAATTAATGTATGCCAAGTATTCTGTTATTTCAAAAGGATACCATTGGTGAACAGCAAGGTGTGGTTTGTTTTTTAACAATTCTCTGACATGGAATTGGCATTGGCATTTATTTCATTATCTTTTGACTTCACAGAAGTTCCAGATCTTTAAAAGGTATGGAAGTTTACAACACTAGAAGAGAATTGGTGACACCACTGTTGCCTCTGTCTTGTTCTGGACAGTATTTCCTGAAAAACACTGAGGTGGCGTTTACATATGCCATGCTATTCTGTTTGTAAAAGGATTATATAGACCTGAAGCTTGCCTACCTGACCTGTAGCTATATACATAGTCATCGCTGTATCTAAAATGATTGAAATGGACTGGGAGGTTTTCCTGCTGATATAGGGCATACCTACAAAAGTGTGCAAGTTGCTGCTTAACTCTTGTATTTGTTGTGACAACATTTGCTTTTGTGTAAGAGAGGATTGGGAAATATATGCAATGTGTGTGAGTTTTATATGGTCTCTTCATTTGGCTATGGTGGAAAAGTAGGGCAGATATGAGAAAAGCTCTTTATCACTTGTAAATGCATTAGGAAGGTAAATTACTTTGATTTGAAATGAGGCTTGAATGTTTACATTACTTCTAAAATATTTTCTTCCTGGGGAAAATGTACATCCAAAGCTTGCCAGGCTGAAATTTTTAGGTGATTGGAAATCTGAGCCCAGATTTCATCCACTGGGGCCTTCACTGTAATTGCTCAATATTTTACATACAATCTCACTTCATCCCTCTCCTGATTAGCGTCTTCTACTAGATGAAGGTTATAATTTAGTAATTAATGATCATGATCTTATTATCTATTTTTAAGATTACTAAATTCTTGTACATGTTGAATCTGCTGAAATCTGCTTGTCTAGATTAAATAGTCTGCCACATTAGGAAAGAAAGTAAAGATACTAAGCATATCTTTATTTCTCTGAAGTTGTAAATGGATTCAGTAGAAAACCTTCATGCAAATCTACTTATCCAAAGCAGAGAGAATACTGGACAGAAAATTCAGTCTGCTCTAGAGTTATCAGTGATGCATTAAACTACAGTATTCTCAAAATACTGTATTTTCATAATGTGGACAAACACTTAGGCACCTCATCCAAGGTGATCATGTTTCCCTTAACTCTTAGCATCCCCACAAATCATGGGGATCAAATCTTGATAATGTTTTAATGATTAATTAAAATATTTATAAAATCAATGAATAAATAAGAAAGCAAAATCACTTCTGCTCTTGCAGTCCAAGGATGTTTTAACATATCCATCTTGCACAGATTCTTTTTAAAGATAAATAATAATATCCTTTGTGATATCATATTGAAAGTTAAAATTGAAGGGCGTTATTGGAATTTCATGCCAGGCACAACACATCAGAATTAATTTCCTTTAGCTCCAGTCCTGTGGAGATAGGTAGCAACTTTGAACTCCTCTTAATTTATATCCTAAAACTTAAAGAGAATTATGTTCAGATCATATAATGAATGCAGAAGATTTGTTACTGAAACTATCATCATGTTGGTATGTAAGCAAACTTAACCTCGCATGCTTTAAAAACCAATATATTTTATACCAAAATGAAATTCAGTGCAGGTAATAAAAGAGTAAGAATGAGAATGGCTCAGTTCAGAAGATTAAAAATGGCCTCTCTTCTACTTGGCATCTGTTTTTTCAGTGGAGTCATAATAACACTTTCAGTAAAGAACATCCTTCTAATATTAAATATTAAGGTGACTATCTTCTATCATGTGACCTGCTTTGAAATTCACGAGGGGCCTATTCTCTCATCACTCCTCTTTTTAAACACTCCATAACCATATCTACTCCATAAACAAGAAAGCCAACAAATATTGCCTAGTAATGAGCTTCCCATATGTGGAAAGGATGGGGTAGAGAAAGGAAACACATTGTTTCTGGAGGGTGTTCCTTTTGAGATCTGGCTAGCACGGATTGGATTGTTCCCATTATCCATGCTAGCCTGGATAGAGGCAGTAGGGAAGACTACTTTACACTTTGTAAACCATACTGTAGGTGCCAGTTCAGCCTGATAATGGCAGTCAGTGCAATTTTGTCAGAAGTCGGCAATACTAGAAAAGAGAAGAGATGTACATCTCTACCATATTAATCAGGATGCAAATAATTTCTGTTTAATTGAGGATTGTGGATACATGATATAAGATTTAAACTGTAGGAAAGGTTGGCAGAACTTTTATATCTTGCAATGTTACTTACACCATTGTTTGTAACTTTCCATATTAGTAGTGAAATTATCCAAGTATGGATCCTTATGTACCCAAAGTAACACCATCCACACAGGAAAGAGAGGTATGCGTCTCAGCTTTGGAGATTCCCAGGGTTTGTAGGAATGAAAAAAGGAGCAGGGGGAAAACTCCAAGAAGAGTGGGGAACCTGAGCATGCTTACCGAGCACAGGATGTAAGCTAACTGTAGACGGGCAAATAGAATTCAGTGTCCTGGAGAAGGTCATAGATATTTTGATTCCTGAATAGGAGCACTGCGTACTGCAAAATGTTGTTGCAGGTTCCATTGTGTTTTATATCTGCAAGCATGTACTCAACCCTACACCCCAACAGGTTATTCTGGAACTAAATCATTTCACACTATGATTTAATTTTCTGGGTGCCTTAGATTTGTTGGATGGGCCTCATCTTCCTTGCCTTTTTTCTTTTCGAACACTGTTAGTATTAGAGAAATAGCTTATTTTTGTCTCCATTATTTTTGCCTGTTTTGTAGAAGATGTGCTTAGTAAAGATGCTGGGGAGTGTGCAATATGCCTGGAGGAGCTGCAGCAAGGAGATACAATAGCAAGATTACCTTGTCTATGTATATATCATAAAGGGTAAGTACATGCAAAACATAATACAATAGCTGAACCAATGATTTATTATTATGGGCTGATACAAACTGAAGTCTATTGTACAACAGGACTTCCCCCTCCCAACCCATCAGATCAGACTTGGGGTGCGGGGAATGTTGGAAGGAGAAGGAGACTCTTCTGATAGTAGTGCATAAATATCTCAGAATAGTTGTTAAAAAGTCTGCTTTAAATGTACTGTGGAAATAATCTTTACAGTCATGATTTTTGGAGTCTATCCTGCCATTATAGATAACTTCCAGGGTTGGTGTTTTTGAGTGGTCTGCTTTGATAGTACATAAAATAAAATGCAAGAAGCCACAGGGTGGGGGGAGCAATAGGTACAATAAAGACTTATTCATGTAAATGTTGACCTGGGTTTCATGAAACAACAATAAGTTATTTTACCCTTGAGCTGTGCCAGGTTCCAACTGCCATTACAAATATGCAGCTCCTGACTGAGAGTTGTTAAGTCATGCAAACCCAGCGATTTGAGAGCTAAAAACCCCTCCCATAACCCTACGATAGACCCGTTGTTCTTACATGCCATCAGGTCCTCTCCAACTTATAGTGACCTCATGAATGAATGATCTCCAAAATGTCCTGTCCTTCAAACCCCTGCTCAGGCCTAGTAAACTCAAGGCTGCGGCTTCCTGTGTGGAGTTACTCCATCTCATAATTGGTCTTCCTTTTCTTTTTCTTCTGTTTTCCAACTTTCCCTGGCATTATGTTCTTTTCCAGTGAATCTTGCCCTTGCATGACGTGTCCAAAGTACTACTCTTCAATTTTGTAATTTTTGTTTCCGGGGAAAGTTGTGGTTTGATTTATGGCCCACTTGTTTAGCTTTCTATCAGTCCAGGGTATTCACAAAGCTCTCTTCCAGCGCCATGTTTCAAATGCATCAGTTTTGTTCCTGACAGCTCTTTGCACTATCCAACTTTCAAATCCATACATAGTGAACAGGAATACAATAATGTAGATCATCTTGGCCTTGCTCTCTGGTGAAACAGCCTTACGCAGTCTTTTCTATTTCCTTCATTGCTGCCTTTCCAAGTCTCAGTCTTCCCCTAATTTCTTGGCTGTAGTCTCCATGTGAATTGCTGACTGGGCCAAGATATGTAAAATATTTCATGCTTTCAATTTTTTCATTGTTGACCTTAAAGCTGTGTAGCTCTTATGTTTTTCGCTTTCTTAATATTCAGCTGTGGTTCAACTTTTGGATGTTCTTTTTTCACTTTCATTTGGAATTATCTCAATTCATTGCTGCTCTCTGCCAGTCATATGGTATCATCTGTGCATCTTAAATTATTGCTGTATCTGCCACCAATTTTTACTTCTTCCTCTGATCCTAATCCAGTTTTCCCTGTGGTATGTTCTGCGTACATATTGAACAGATACAGAGATAAATCACACCTTTGTCTTATGCCATTCTGCTTCTCCATATTCTATCCAAAAGTAGCTTCTTGTCCATAATACCAGTTATTCATCAGGACAATCAAATACCAAGGCACACTAATTTCTTGCAGATCCCCCATTGCTTTTCATGAGCCGCACAGTCAAAACTTTACTGTAGTCTATACCTTATGTACTGGATCTTCCATAGCCAGTCACTATTTGCAGTATGGTGTTGAGTGCCTCTTCTCAGAATATAGCTTGAATGTCAGTCATTTCCCACTCCATACAGGGTAAACATCTTTGTTGCTATTCCTCGAACATCACTCTGCTTGGATAGAAAATGAATGCAAAAGTCCTGTGATTGCTGCACTCCTTTGCATTTCCTTTCTTGGGGATTGGAATGTACATTGAGCATTTCCATTCTGTAGACCATTGTTTTATTTTCCCTCTTTGTTGGCATATTCTTGTTAGGATTTGGACTAATTTGGTCTTTGTTGCTTGGAATAGTTTGGTTTGTTGCCCTTTCTATTCTGGGTGCTTTATTTCTCCCAAGTGTTTTTAGAGTACCTCTCACTTCACTTTCTAATATTGCAGGTTCTTCCTCATAGAATTTCTCTGTGAAGGAGCCTGTCATACTTTCATATATTCTGTACAGCTCTTTTATATATTGTTTCCATCCTCTCTTTATTTCGCCTGCTCAAATAGCATGCCCCCCTCTTGGCCTTTCGGCATTTCTATCTAGGTTTGAATTTTCTTTTGAGTTCTTCAATCTCCTAAAAGAGGTGTTTTGCTTTCATTTTTCTATTTCTTTGCACCAGGCAGTATAATAGTTTTTGTCTGGTTGTCCCTATGTGATAATCACTGAAAAGTTGCATTCAGGATTCTGTCACCTTTTGTTTTTGCATCTCACCTGTCTTTAACAATTGTGAGAATTTCATCATCCATCTAGGATTTTTTTTCCCACTACTGGAGTTGTCTTTTTTTTCATTCTTCCCTTATTTCAAACCCCAGTTTTTTTGGCATATGGTCAGTAGAGTTCAGTAATGCAAATGTGTTCTTTGTATAGACTTTAAATCCCCGAGAATGTTAGTTGAGTTGTATTTTGACATTGTACTTCTGTTAGCTATCTTTTTCTGCTTTACTTAGAATTTTCATGGTAAGAGTCCATGGTCACTACCACAGTTGTCTGCTTGTCTTGTTTTGGCAGCAAAAATACAACTTCTCCACCTTCTGCTTCTAGTCATGTAATCTATTTAATGTTTGTGTTGGCCATGTGATGATACCTATGTGTACAGCTGTCTGAATTATGTATTTGTGATAAACAGATTGTTGACTTCACAGAGTTCTATGAGTTGTTCTCCTGCTTTGTTTCTGACTCCTGGGCCAAATTCTCCTATGACATTGGATTTTGCTTTGTTTCTCACTTTCGCATTCTAATTACCTGTGATGATCAGCATGTCTTGTTTTGGTATGTTCTTAGTTTCCTCTTCGACAGTTGCATAGAAGTTTTCAGTTTCTTCTTCAAAATCTGTTATTGGAGCATAGACTTGAGTGATGGTTATGTTGATAGGTTTTCCACAAATTCTGATTCATATTTTGCTGGACTTTGCATTACAGCCCCTTACTGCTTGTGCTATATCTTGCCTCAGTATTAGAGCCACTCCATTTCTTCTGAGTTTGTCATTTCCGGGATAAAACATTTTGTGTTTGTCACACTGAAAATAATCTCACTCCAGTCCATTTTAGTTCACTCACATCAAGTATAGTGCAATGTTTAACCATTCTGTTGCTTTATGGTTTCCAGTTTGCCTGGTTTCATACTTCTTACATTCCATATCCCAATTGTATATGTTGTGCAACATTGGACTTTTCTTTCACCTCTGTGCATGTGAGCCACTAGACTTCCTTTCGACTTTGAACTAGTTGCATCACTAGTGACAGTGCTATTCGTACTTGTCCTTTGCTCTTCCCCAGTAGCTGATTGAGTGCCTTCCGACCTGGGAGTCTCATCTTCTGGCACTATCTCTTGTTTCATTTTGGATTCTTTCATCATAGGGTTTTCAAGGTAAGAATATTCAGAAGTGGTTTACCATTGCCGCATTCTGCGCAATACTAACCAGATTTAGCTTGAGCTTCACTGTGTTGTCTGTGAAAGATCCTCTGCCAGTGTCATCTTCAACTACTGCTGTTGCCCGATAGCTGCCCTTCAAGATTTTCTGCATTCCCATCACCATTAGAGATACCCATTCTCTTCTGCTGATGTGACTGTTGCTCCTGAAGAGCATGGATGCATCTTAGTCACAGCTTTGACCATTCGGCCTTGGGTGACCCTGCTGGGAGACCAGTCTAGTGAGAGAGTCTGACCTCCTGACAGCATTGCTCTTGGCTTCTCTGATTCTCAAACCTCCTCACCACATTAAGGTGTGCATCCAAGAGGAGGAACAGATCAGTTAATAAATGAAAACAATCATTTATTAATGGCAAGCCTACTTACTGTGATGCTTGCTTTCTGACAACAAAGACATTTACTTGGAAATACATTCTTTCACTGGAGCTGAGTAATGCATAGCTTGTCTGTGTATTTCAGCCTGAGCAATATTTTTCTTCTTATTTTCATAGATGCATAGATGAATGGTTTGAAGTAAACAGATCTTGTCCAGAGCATCCCTCAGATTAACAGCCGATGTTCCTGTGTTAGAAGGTAACAGCTACTACTTTTTCTTACTAATATTTAATAAGTTATATTTAATATTGGCTCACCAGCCTAATTTGTAAAGTTATGTGTTTTAATTAATTAGTTAATTAATGTATTTAATGACTAATTGCAGTAGTAGGTTCTAAGACTCTGATCCATCTTTCTTACTGTAATCAAATTGTCCCTCTTCATAAGGTACGTTCACACTCAGGATTTGAGTGCACTTACTTAGTTATTTGATCCTTGCACACTGCACATGTAGAGGCTTCAGACCATTGACCCCATGATTCATGGTGGGGATAAACGCAGAGCCACTGAAGCAGTCAGCCATGCTAACAGGCCCTAGCATACCTAGGGCCAACATGTGAAAAGTTCTTTTCTCTGCTACATATCATATGGGGAGGAAGGTGTCACACATAGCATCCAATTGGCTCTAAACAAATGCTTCATTATAGCAGTGGCAGGATATTTTTGCTACACATTCTGCATTGGTGAAGAGCAATCTTTGATTCTCTCTTCAGAGGATTAGAAGTCTGTGCCAATGGAGATGATCTTTGAAGCGTTGTCACTAGACATATTCAGCTGTGACTTGCTAGAACTAGACAGATTATCCATAAACTCTTTTTTTATGATTTCACTTCTTCCTTGTGAGTATCACGTGTCATGTTTTGTGGGGCGTGGGATCTCAAAACTTCCACAAGATGGAGGGAGGCTAGCACATTACTTTTGAAACTGAAGCTTCCTCTTTTGCAGTGTCTGCTGGCATTGCACATCAGTGGTACACAGTTCTTTGTGCTGGATTGCAATACAAAAAACTATTTTAGGTGTGCATGTATCCATGAGGTGCTTTCTCCCCTTTGAACAGCAGCTCCCGTATGCTGTATCTGCAGTTGCTTCTGAAATTTGCATGATTTTCCAAAACTGGCTTGCTGTGTTATACTCATGGCTGTTTAATGGGGAGAAGGTTGTGAAAAGCTTCACTGGGCCCATAGCATTATTCGTCTAGGACTCTGAACAGCATTAATCAGTATCAAAGGAGGTCTTTTCTTTTTACCCTAACAGAAGGAATCAGTATATCTGATTTCCTTTGCTACTGCAACATTTTTGCAGTCATTTTAAAAATCAGCTAGAGTGGCAAGGATGGGGTGGAGTTACGTAGCTGATGGTGTCACTGCTAGGAAATACTATAAGCTTGAAAGAACTTAGGGTGTAGGTCAACGGGCATGGTGTTGTATTAGTGATGCACTATAGCAGTAAACAGTGATGACGACAGCAGAAAATGCATCACATACACCATATCCATTGTCCTTGCTGCCTTTTCTCTGCCCACACTATACTGTGTGTGTGTGTGTGTGTGTGTGTGTGTGTGTGTGTGTGTGTGTGAGAGAGAGAGAGAGAGAGAGAGAGAGAGAGAGAGAGAGAGAGAGAGAGAGAATATGCTTGTATATGCCCTTGTCTCTTCAGTGAGCATGTAGTATCAGAGCAAAACAAGGCCTTTCATGCTCAGCAGATTTCATTTACTTTCTGGCTTGCCCATGTCCAGAGATATTTGCCACCAGAGGCATAAGTTGCACTGAGAAGATGGTGGCAGTAGTGGGGAGAAGTCATGTAGCAACCTCCTCCCCTTTGTCCTTCCTTCTGCTGTCATTAGAAATGCAGGAGGCTTTGGCCCTCCATTGCATTGTATTTGGCACTGAAGCAGCACCTCTTTGTGTAAATAAGTCATTGGAGATGTATTGGGAGGGAGTCCAAGGAGAAAGAAATTCCTTTTCAAAATCTCTACAAAGCTGCTGTTAGACATTAAATGCAAGAGAGTATTTTTGTCAGTATTGACCAATGTGTATGGCTGCCTAGACCATACCGGTTATTATTTTTAAATCAAAGTGATGTCCCTTATTTTATAAACACCACAATTTCCGTCCTGAAACAAGACTGTTATGGTTTAGAGAACATATTCTGCTGCTAAGAAATATAATGTTGTTCTTTGTGAATTTCTTTATAGTCTCTTACACTGATCATCAAATGTAAAGGATTTGGAGTTCCATCTTCAGAAGCTAATTTGAGAGTGGACCTGTTTTCATTTTGGACTGGGAAAGATAGAGAGTTGAAACATGGCATAGGACAAATGATGCTATGTTGGGTGCTCAGTGTACCAAACACTCACCTAAAGGAGACACAGGGATTCTGGAAATGCTGCACATCCTGGAAAAATCCTCTTCCCACAGACTTTATGAAAACGATTTTGTATCTACAGGCCAAAGTTATTAACTTGCAGTTTAATTTTTTAAAAGCTGTGTACAGAAGCAGGATGTACTCACGTTCTTCCTTGAATGGAAGCTGTGCACTCTAGATCACTCTGGGACATTATACAAGGAGGATGCCATTCTTGGGTTGGAATCATCCACCCCTTCACCCCATGGGCTGCAAGGGATACAGGCAAACTATGATGTACACATTGTGAACTGAATTATGAAATTTCCCACTCTATATGCTGTTCACATTTTTTCTGTGAAAGAATGCAACATTCCTTGATTTAGGAAATTTTTGTAAGTGAAACTTCGTCAGAGTGCAGCCCAAAGAGCAAAATGTAATCAAAGCTGATTGTTAATTGACATTGTTGATCAGGCTATAGAGTTACTGAAATCTGCATACTGTGTTCATTTCTGTATGAGTATACTAAAATTCACTTTTACTGCTTGTGGGTATCAGTGCAGCAACATTCTTTTAAAAAGAGCATAATCTAGCAGCTATGCAATGTATTTTTTAAAAAAATATAGGGAAACGAGAATTACCATCTCTCAAGTGCTGCCAGTTAAGGTAATTTAACGGGTATTTTTTTAAATGTTTCAGGTAGTTATTTTCTTGAACTACTTCAATCTCCAGGCTGCCCAACTCTAGCTGAGTAGTCATAAAGGCAGGCAAAGTGGGATGTTTCACGGGGACGGGACCTGGACTGACTTTCTGTGTTTTTTTTTTGTTTTTTTAATTAAATGTTGTCTCAGTGGCAGGTCAGAGCAGATCTTAGTAATTTGCATCTAATGCCATTGGTCAGACTTTGGATGGTGGCCATACTTCTGTGCCCAGGTGGTCATACTTCATCTCATGGATTTAAATGGGCTTAAGCATACATAACTGTGGGCATAGGGTTGAAGGAATTACCTATGTTTTTGAGCCAATAATACTTTTACTGCACAACGGTGGCTTACCATAAATTGTAAAATGAGGTGTCTTGAGCAGGCTATGGAAGAGGCTAGCTAAGTAAAACGGTGAGATGTTAATAATATATTTGTTTCCACACAAAAAGGGGGACCTGTTATGGAAACTATTCAAAATATCTTGTGAAGTTTGTAATTAAATGAAATACTGCTGAATAAAGGTGATGGAAACTTTTAACATGCCAAAATAGCAAAATTAACTTGTGTATCATATTATTTCATTATTAATTCTGCTTCCCTTGAGACCATTTTTTAAAAGGAAAGCCTTTATTTATGTTGATTTGCAAAAATGCAAGTGCAGAAACTGCTGATGTTACTTTGCAGATAAATGCATACTTGAGAGCTTGCTATCCATCTCTTAAAAACCACAACCCCAAGTATACAATCCACTAATGTCTTGTTTTGTATAGATAAAACTCAGTGCTGTAGCCAGCAGTCACTACTGACTTCAGGAAAAGGAAGAACAGATACTTGCTGTATTATTCTGATCATATTCAAAATACTGTAGTGGACAGAACTAGATGCTTCCAGTGTGTGAAGGGTAGAGATTTTCAGAGAAGGAACTGTGGACAGAAGATGCTTCTCAGAGTGAGGAGAGGTCTTTTTTCCCCATGACTTCAAAATTTCTAAAAATGTTACTTATATACTCACCCTTTAAAACTTTTGTTGTGGTGGTGGTTTTGCAGAAACTTCTCTCAGCAACAGGTTCAAAGAAAATGAAGCAGGAAAGTTTGCAAGAGAAATTTTGCATTTGGTCAGTTCCACCCACCAACCCTGTTCATCTGTGTCAATCTCACAAATAGCTCTAGCATCCTATTTTGCTCATTAGAAGATCCTCTGCCATTAGACGCACCCCCGAAACTTCCAGTCATTTGAGAAGAAGCAATTTAGTAGTTTCTGATATGATGTGTAATGTTATGTAGGAGAAAGACTGAAGCATGGGTGAGTTTTTATTAGTATGTAGGTAGCTGCAGGAGCAGATCACCCTCTTTCAAGTTCTCTTTATCTACAGTCAGTAAAGTCTTGTGTCAATACTGGCTTTAAATTCTGTGGCTGTGGCCAGGAACAGCACTGCATCATACTGTTCTGGGAAATCCACTTCCATGAACGTAAATCAGAACCGCAGCTTCAGTGGCTGGGATTTAATGATGTTTCAAGGAGCAACAGTCTAAGGACAATCTAAACCAGCGGGGAGCGGCACTTTTTGCTTTGAGGGCTGCACAAGCTCCCTTGAAACATGTCGGGGGCCACTTACCTGCAGCAGGTGCGGTCACAACTCCAAATGGAGAGGACCAGTTCTACCCTCTCTCTCATTCCCACCCTTCATACACCCAAACACACACACTCCATTCATACAAGCTTCCCTCCATTCCTATACCTGCCTTCCTGTGTATGGAAAAAGGGATAGCCCCTCTCTCCATGCACAGAGGGGTTTTTAAGTGTTTCATGGAAGAAGCTGGGTTTCATCTTCCATATCGAGAACTCTAAACAGAGCAATCTGGATATGAAGAAAGTGACCTGATCCCATACTCCACCTGCAGGTTGGAGAGGAAAGGCCTTGGAAGGCCAGATGGGAAGGGTTTGTCCATAAATGGACTTGCAACCTACACTAAACGGCTTCCAAGTTTTCCAAAGTCCTATTCATACGTTTGGCAAAAATGACTCAAAGTGTCATACATATATCATACAAGCTCTCTTCAGAGAAAGTGTGTGTAGATGTGTTATTAGATGTATCAGAACTAGAATTGCAGCTGGAGATCTGTACGCACAGTGGCAATTGTGAGGTTGGATGCCATCTAACTTATAAATGGCTCTGAAATCTCATTTACAGTAGAGATACAGTAGAGATTACAGAGGGATCTTTCAGACAGGTCTTTTTACTTGTGAACATTACTTCAAAGTCCTCCAAGGGAAATACTCTCTTTTGCTCTTTTGAGATTTTAAAAATTTAATTCAGTTCAATCTCCTAGCAAAAACGAATTCAGTAAGAATGTTTACATTGCTTGTTTATGCTAATACACTTTTTAAAATCCAGAAGCCTATTTCCGTTCTTGTCTTTCCCCCACCCCCAAGCCATGTAATGTGCTTCCTTAGCTGTTTTTCAGCCAGACCAGGATTTTCCTGACATGATGTTGCATTTTGCTTTGTGATGCGGACATGCTGGTACAGAAAGTTCCACTTCACCGTTGCCAATGTTTTAATCTCAGTGCTGATCTTCTTGATAGCATATCTTGCTATTTATACTTGTTTGTCTCAGACTTTAAGCTTCAAATCTCTCTCCTCTTTACTTCCTCTTCCTAAGCCAGCATGCTGTACTGTCTGAGCTTTCTTCTACTCTGCCTCTTTTAGTAGAACAACTCTGTTAAAGACCTCAATTAGCTCTTCATTGCATAGGCCTTTCCAGAGGAGGAGCTTTTTCTATCAGTTTGGTGGCAACCACATCCTTATTTCCAGTAGAGGTGGCTTTCCTCAGATGAAACTGACTTTCTGAGGCAGCCCTGAGGCAGTTCAGCAACACACAGAAGCACCAAGCTGAAGCCAGATTCTTTACCCTATCAACATTGTATTCTGTGGGATATACAGCCATTCATTGTTCTAAAGTAGCTCAGTGATGAAGCCAAATAGTGATTGCAGTCCTGAAATGGGACAGTAATAGATAATTCTGAAGATGCTGGAAAGTTTTTTCTACCAAGAACCTTGGGAGTGCAGGGTTGGACTCCTTTTAAAGGCTGAGAGCCACATTCCCCTATGGGAAAGATACAATCAGTGAGACCATATGCAGAAGCCACTGGGCTCACCTCTTTTCCTACCATACATTCTATCTTGCTGTCTCACCCTTCCTTTTCCCTGTCCGCCCCTTAAGTATCCATCTATTCACGGCATTTTGATTCTGGAATACCCTTTGATTTAAATATGACACCCTCCCCCTTCTAATGAGTGCTGGTTTTTCTTTCTTAAATTACGGTTTAGTATATATCAGAGTATCAGGGCCAGGAGCAAGTTTGTCCCTTTTAGGTTTCTCCAGATGGCCTCACCCCTTTCTGCTGACCATTGATAATTTCCTGACTTTTCCCCCTCCACACCCTTTAAAAGGTTGACATGCCTCTTTTAAGGCTTCAGTACTGGCAATAAAAGCTTTTGGCTAAAATACACCGGCATTTTTAGTACTGGCTCCACCCCCTTTGCCTTTAGCCCTGCCAACACTGGAGTACAGTTCCTGAGAGCTTCTCCAAAATGGAATTCAGACTCAAGCTGAAAGAGTTTCTGTATACCTGGTGTATGTGCTTCAGTATCTTAAAAGGCAATTATATTGACTCTTATATGGTCAAAAGGCACCAATCGCTAATTGATGCCTCTAAATCCATTTGCAAATGCGTAGGTGATTCCTTTTTACATGCTTAAAACTCTCTTCACTTACCAAAACATTTTCCTATCTCTTAAGAGGCAAGGAATTGTTCATGTAAGCTGGCAAAGTGGTTCGTAGACAAATGTTATGGCTTGCAGTGTGCAAACTTTAAACCCAGAGGATTCCATTCCATTGACATCTCTGCCAAGGAGCCACTGTGCACTGCCTGGGAATTCTGCTCTCATTCACATGGACTGTTGACTGGTGCTGGTGGGCCTTACCATGCTTTTGATGCATTGAAGTTGTGCTACATTCACAGAACTTCAAATTCGGCACTTCCTTACAGTGATGTTTTGCCAGGTAGAGTTCAGGAAGGAAGCTGTCTTAACAGTAAACCTGCCTGTTCTTACTGTTTTCCTTTCTCACTGAGAGATTCCTGAAAGACTTTCAAAGATTTTCTGAAACGTGCCATTTACATGTGTAACAGCAAGCCTCTTTAATTTGTAGGTTGTTAGCATGTTGTCCAAAACTGGGCACATGGGTTATTCATAGGTTAAACAGTCTAAAGTTAACCTAAGCACCATGCCCCATGCATACCTGCAAATTGTTGGTTAATTAACCATGATCTGCCACCAAATGCCACTGTTAATGTATGAACCAAGTCATAGTGTAGAAACCTCTAGCCTATGTTTGTGCTCATCAAAATAGGCTGAAATGTTTATCTTGTGTTAGCAATATGATTTCCATCCCTGGTGGCCTTGAGAAGACACCTGACTCATCTGAGGGAAAGGGGAGCTAAGATGTTAAGAGGATACATTGGAATGACACCAAGTTGCCAACCCTTGCCTTTTTAACAAGCAACCATTCAGGATTAACTAATAACCAAGACCCTCAAGCCCTCCTTTGATGGAGAAAAGTGCCCATTGTAAATCAAACTAATCATTTCCACACCATATAAGATGAAACTATTGAGCATGAAACTGCTTAGCAAGGAATGCTGTAATGTTTGGTAGTGGCCATGTACAAGAAGTCTTCCTCCGGTACCCTGCTGTTCAACAAGAATGTAATTAGTGATGTTTAATGTAAAAAGTTTGTATTTTTAAAAAATTGAGTTGTGTTGAGAAAATTACTTGAGGATTTTTTTAAGGTACATCTTGTACTTGGTCTGCCTGTAAACAATCATATGATTTTTTCCTCCTTTTTAACTGATTTAGGTTGTATGTTTTAACATTCCATTTGTGTAAAATATGTACAATGACATGTTAATAAACCTTTTGAAGCACACTTTCCATCATGACTGGGTGTCTTATGAGCTTTTAAAAATTTAACAGGAAACTAAATTCCATCAAAACGCTGGCTTATAACAGCATCAGGATAATAAGGTGCTTCCCCCCTTGTGCTTAAGGGTTTTCAGTGTTAGCATTTCAGTGAAGAAAATGTGTGCAATGCAATGCTTTGTTCTGATTCCTTTTTCTGGCCACTTTGACGCAGTGGCTTAATTGTAACTGTCCTCAACATACAGTCAGGATCAGGCATAGAAATCCTGCCATCATGCAAAGAACCAACAATCTAGTACATGTTTGTGGAGGGCCCACAGTTCATATGTAAAGCACATGTTCAACAGTACAAGCCAGTGCATATTCTCTCAGAAGTAAGTCATTGAGGTTGAGTCCCTCATCAGTGTTTTTAGGATTGCAGCCTAAATCCGGATTAGGGCCAGCATATACAAAGGTTAAAACAATTGCAACTAATACAGCTGGGAAGGAAACTGGAAAGAGATTGCCCATTAGAATAGACAACACTAAGCTCCCTGGAACGATGGTCTCACTCTGTATATCACAGCTATAACATACTTGGCTATCTTGAATTTGTGCTAAAGTCTGTAAGCCCTACTTTATTTATTTATTTATTTAGACAACTTATATGCTGCCCCCTTCGCAAAAGCCTCAGGGCAGCTTCAGATCATAAATAAATACTATCAAACAAATACATAAAATAGTGGAGTCATCCTGGCAAAGTTTTTTAAAATCAATAAATAACCTCAACAATTAAAATACTTGGGTTTTCCCAAGTCTTCCTCCTTCCCACATGGCTGGCCCTGGCTCTGCTGTCAAGGAGGCAAGACAATGGGATCACATAGACAAGAAATTAAATAAGAGGTGGATTGGGGTGCCTAGCCAGGGGAGGGGAAGAGATTAAGATCTGGATGGGGATTAATGTTACATGATCTCCAGTTAAATTGCATCATCTCTGTCTATGATGCTCTCTTGTCTGTTTAAAGTGAGTTTTAGAGCAGAAATGATCTCTTGACGCGCCTTCAGTAGGAAGTGGATTCTCTCCACTATGGATCCCTTTTACACTTGTTTAATCTGTTGGCATTACCTAGCTTCAAATATCTAGCTTCACCACTTGAATGAAAGTAGTAGGACAACTGCTTCAGTGCAACTTGGTGTAATTAAAAATTAGTATCTATAACATCATTGAGGTAAAAGAAACCTTTCCCACAGTGTGATATCTTAGGTGGGTTTAAATTCCCCTAAATTCCTTTTTAAAATGTGTGCAACTCTCCAAATCACACCTTTTTAGATAATGGAAATGCATGATCTTGTACAACTAACAGCCTTTGCGTGGACTGAATACACACACGGAAATTCAGAAGGCAGGTTGGGACTTGAACTGGAACTTCCGCCCAACCTTTGCAAGTGACTTTCAGTGGCAGCCGAGCGGGGGAGACCTGTGGCAGTGGTGATGTTTCCCCATTGGTGATGAGAGCAGTGAAACCCAAAGCTTGCTGTGGGCGCCTTTTGTGATTAGAATACCCACATTTTGACTTTGCAGTAGGAAGTCAGACGGAAATTATTCATTTCTAGTAGGTGCAGAAGTTCATGTGTGGAATTTCAATGAGCACCTGTTGGCTCCATTCTCAACCCAACTCCCTCTCGGTTCTCTGCATTGGCTTTGCCTTCAATTACTATGGTTGTGCTTCACTGGCCTTGAGTTAATGTACTGTACGTGCCTGCATCAGACTTGCTTGAGTATTTAATTCCCAATCCCATATATGGAATGTGGCTGGTTGGCTGGATACAGCCTGGATGGAATGGGAAGGCTGCTTTCTCTGGGCTGACAACCAGGACCAGATTAATCATTATGCTAAGGACCCACCAACAGAGGGTCTTCTTCCCTTCCCTTTCAGCACTGGGAGACAGAAGCGCAACATGCTGTCCTTCCCAGCATGGTAGGGAACGGGCATCTTGTGACAATAGCACAAGCTGTGTCCCACTCCACCCAGCTTGCATTGCAGCTTAGTGGTAGGTCAGCTCAGGTTGGGATAGCAGGCAGGGAAAGCCACCAGCCTCAGATAGACATTTATCCCTGCATCAGTGATGCAGTTAAGGTAATCATAGACCCCGGACTTACTGATCTGAAGGTGCTGGAGGAGCTAGCTTTGGATGGCCACGTGTGTTGTCTCAAGTGCGGAGTGCCCAGTGTGTCTCTTGTCCATCCTTCCTTCCCCCAGCCCCAGGTTGTAAACTGCTTCTGCATTCCTGATGTTGGATTGATCTTTGCTAACCCTGATTAAAGAAAGAAAAAGAAATACTCTCACCATCTGCAGTGTTACATGTTAAGTGTATGTGTTAAATAATGCACTAACACCATCATAACCACGTGAATAAAATGCTGTTTTCTTCTACTGCCCTTATTTACTTGGGAATAGGCACTATTTTGTCATAGAAAAGAATACTATATGTTTACAGCAAAAAATAATGAAATAACTATCTGTAAACATGCACATGCCCAACCGGTGCTGCCTGCCCCTAATACAACATTTAAAAGAAGAAAGAATGCTGCCCTGACCCACACCAGCTCACAGTCACATTCCTGCCATTTTCTGGATGGTCATTTGGGTCCCCAGGCCTGCGGGGTCCTGGACGTTGTTCCCAAGGTCCAAACCCTAGTGGCACTTCGACTCTGAATAAGAGCGGTTGTTGGAATGCTTTCAGGAAGTTTTGGCATGGGACACTGAATAACTTTGAACAACTTGTAGGTTGCTGTCAGGAAAGACAAATGTCCTCTAGAGTTATCCACAGCTTGTAATGTCACATGTTCCCCATGCAAATGATTCTAGAAGAACAATCATCCTCTGATTGCAGACTGTGAATGGCCAGGAAATACAATGACTATAACTTGTAAACAGACATCCAAAGGTTGGGCCAAACCCATCCTTCCAAAACTGCCTTGCCAGAGACAATGGCTGGGTATTTAAGAGCTTCCTGAAGGGCAGTTAAGGGCACAATCCTATGCACAGAAGAATTGCTACAACTCTCAGCGTTCTCCAGTAACTCTGCAGTTAAATGGCTCTAACTGTGCCATGGCCTGTCTTTCTGTTAAGCGGTGCTAGTGTCAAAATATCAAGCGTGGCCGCGTTTAATTCTGAACTGAGAGCAGTGGCTTCATGCTTGCTTTTTCACAATGCTGCACATAGCCCCAGAAAGTTCTGGTGTTTGCTGATCTGTGATCCTGACAGATGTGCTTTTCGGCAGCTATTCAGAAGAGACAGAGTTCTGACAGGTGACAACTGCTGGCTCCGGAGAGATGCCTCAAGAGGCCCTGCCGCGGTGAATATTTTTGTTCCATTTCATTCTCTCTGAAAAAATGCAGCCGGGTCTTTCTCTCTGTGACAACCGGAATGTCGGTTGCTTCTCCCTGACAGCGCCCTTTCCTCCCACTGCAAGTATGGCAGGAGCACTTTCTGCTTTGCAGATGCACCCAAGGGAAGATCTCATCAAAAGCTTTGTCTCTTCGGGTGCTTTTGAAGTCCATTTCCTCCCCTCACTGATCTCACTGAGATTTGGATCTCTTCACCTTCCTCCCAGCCCTGGAGCAACATGGGGCACTTTTTAAGCAATGTGAAATTCATTTCATATCATATTTCAAAACAATTCGCTGCCCTTCCCCACCCGCCTGCCCCAGCCCAGCCACCCAGGCAAGCACAGATGCATCACGCTTGCTGTCACTGCTCTCTTCCCAGCAAGAGTGAGCGACTTAAGAGTGCAGCCCATAATGGCATGTGGGCCTTGACGTTTCCTGCCAAGGCAGTGCTTTCAGAAGCCACAGTGTCTGCCTGTGTGATAAGAGCGGAGCACTTCTGGCAGGCCGCACTTGGAGAATGTACTGCAGGCAATGCCATGCCGCTACAGCGGCATAGGGCCTTTTGCATGCTGGCAAATAGAATGGATCATCGTCATTGTCGTCGTCATTTCTCTACTGCTCAAAGGCACAGGGAAGTTCTTCAGTCAGTTCATGTAGTACAAGATACATAAGCCATTTTAATGCAAAATGTAAAGCAGATATTGAAGAATTAAAATGCATTCAATAAAGTAGAGTTTATAAGAGAAAAAACTGTTGATGTATGCCTCCCATATGCTACTAAAAGCTATTAAATGCCTCAACACAGAGGGAAACTAGTGCCAAAATGCTAGCAGCCTCAGTGGGGAAATTGTTCCATAAGCAGGGGGCTGCCACTAAGAAGGCCCTGTTCGTTGTTGCAACCATGAACATCCCGTAGTTGTGACACTGGGAGAAAGGTCTCAGATGCTGAGCATTGTGCCCGGGTAGATTTAGGTTAAGAGAGGCCCTCCAACAGGTACTGTGATCCTGCCTGCATCATTTCAGAACAAGTCTGGCATATCCTGTCATTCCACGTTGGAATTTAAAACAACATGTCTTTACAATCCTGTGATGAGGATTGAGCTGAGAGAATGACCCTGTTCAGACATGGCCCACAAATTGCAGGTAGTTGCATCCTACACATGCCACTTTTGGTTTCCAGCAATAACCTGTGAATACAGTATTGTAGACTTTTCCAGAATGACCCGCCCTGGGGACTTGAGGTCACCTGTAGGTTAAAAACCCCATGTCAATCCAAGAGCAAAGCACAGACATCCCCACAATTCAGCCTACAAACCGCTGCAAAACATCTGAACAGGGACAACATGACTCATTTTATTTATGTATTTATTATTAATCAGCAAGCATCATTTTATTTATTTATTACTGAATTTTTGTACTCTGCCTCATTCCCTCTGGATGGTCTAGAAGAGATTAAAGCCAACCATGATTAAAATTTGACTAAAAACAAGCATATTCAACAAAACCAATCTGGAACTAATCTGGGAAGAGATGCATCTTGAACTCCTTCTTGAAGGTAGCAGTCTGGGATATCAGATGCATTTATCCTCATTGCACAGTTTAACGGGGATTTGAAACCTAGTGTTGTGAGCTGAGGTCA